AGTTTAATCTACAGCGCTTTTCCCGGTATTCATCTATAAAATAAATATGTAAATTTGATAGTTTAGTGAAAGTATAAAGTATATCACATTCAGCGCTTCGGAATTTTTTTCCCAGCTTATCTTTTTAAGCAAATATTATTAATTTACAGACAGATTATATAACGATTTTTTTCTGTAATAATATATTATGAAATGCGAACAACTCATTTTTATGTATTACCTAAAGACCGCCTTTGGGTAATACTTCAAAATGAGTTGTTCGCTGCTTAAGCAATCAATACACAGAAGTGGTGCCTTTTTTGCGTATAGGCACACAGAACACACACACATACACAGTTCATTATTTATACATTTTTTGTACATATTCAATTCAATTAAAAAATAATTTATTCATGTGGGACATTTTAGCTGCTTATGAACGTGAAATTTTTATATTAAAATTTGCCTACCGTCCAGTTCATACTGATCTGATTCAATTGAGAAGAACTGGCAAGAAACTCAATTAAATTTCCTATTTTTTTAAAAGCCAGTCTATTTCTAATGTTGACTTACATATATTGTATTTTGTTAAATGACCAATGTACCTTAACAATCATACCTAACGTTAACAAAAATAAGATAAATCTTATCTATCTACTCTATAAATAATATTCTCCAGTTATTAATTTATAATATCAAGATCATCAAAACATTGGAACATAATTTAGATATACAAGGTTTCTTGTAAAAGATATATATCTCGCCAAAGGCCAGGCAGAGCCCATGACACGGAACTAATCGAGAAACAAATCGGAAATCAGAAAATAAATATTTGAACTTTTCATACAGTATTGATGACGTAACTTGAACTTAGTACGAATATTTTAATAAATATTTTCTGCTTTACTGTATTTTATTTTTAATATATTTTTGTATTATTACCATACTAGCTTTCGGCTTGTTATACCCTTTACGACTAGACCTATAGACAAATCAAGGACATATTGTTCATAAAGCATAACCAAATACAATGATGGCCTCGGTCGTCTAGCGGTTTAGCACACCGCCTTACTTCCGATGGTCGCGGGTTCGATTCCTCGCACTTTACAAACATTTGTATTCATGAGTATAATTGTTTGTATCGGTCTAGGCGTTTTCTTAGAGTATGTGTAATATGTATGTATTTACGAAAAAAAATATGCATTTATGTCAGTTAACTAGTACTAATAAAACAAGCTCTAGCTTAACTGGGGTCTAGATGGGCGCTGTGCGAATTATACTGAGATTACTATTATAAATACAATTAACTTCTTATTATTCTGTTTCTCAAGCAAGCAAGTGGAAAAAATACTTAATCTGTCAACAGAAAAAACAATAACCGTCACAAATAACTAAGAAAAATATTAAATTATGAAAATCTAAAATTCCGTTTGTTAAAATACTGACCGTGTAATCCTCAGATGTGGTTTCGAGAATTCCCAATATGAAGCTTTTGTGTTCTAGAGCAACCATACGTCATGCAGAACATTCTCCGTCCCTCGGGAGTACAGGAACGGAGCCGAACTGCGGACTTAATATTCTAACAAATTATTCACATTGCATTGTTATATTACCTTAGTCGATATTCTCTGAGGATTTTAATTGAACATTTATGTTAGAAATAAATTCAGAAAATTTTAGCTTGCCTATAATATTCGAGTATGTGGAAAGCATTATGTTATACATAATTTATTAATACAGAAATATACATCCATTAGCAATTTGATGGCAAAACGGTAATATAAAGTTTTACCATCTATATTACTTTTAAGAAAAAATGTGAACGTACTGAGAAACAAACGGTACTAATAATATTAATGTTAGCAAAGAAAGATTAAACACAGACAGATTATTCAATTGAACTTCCGACTTAAAACTAAAAAAACAATCTTGTCAAAATATCAATAAAATATATATAGTTTTTTTTTATTATGGATGATAATGGAACGCCGCAGCTACATACACTAACGATTTACGCTAGCATGGCACGAGTGCCGAATGACAAGATGATCGTGAGATCAGGTCAGTTAGCCCATCGTGGTAAATTTATGAAGTTATTACGATGGGTTCCAAGGGGAACCAAGTGGAGGTCACCCTGACACGGTAGTTAGCAATTGGGTAATTAGTCCACATTATTAACAATCCACTTCCCCCCATAACATAATATAATAATAATAATCTTAAGACAATACACACAGCGCCATCTAGACCCAAGTTAAGCTAGCTAAAGCTTGTGTTATGGGTACTAGACAACTGATACAAATACGTAGATATATATTTTTTCGTAAATACATACATAATATTCATAGAAAACAACCAGACCGATATAATATACATACAAACAATCAAACGTTTGTGCCGTGCGAGGAATCGAACCCGCGACCATCGGACGTAAAGCGGTGTGCTAGACCGCTAGACCACCGAGGTCGTCGGACTAGCGTCGTTCATATGTATTAAAACAATTTACAAATAAAAAAGTCGCTTCATGTCATAATATCAACGTTGCTATTTCTGTTACACTAAGGCTAAGATGTTATGCCCCCGTATTCTGTAATTTCACAGCCATATCCGGCCTTCAAACCACAGCGGTCTCCACATATCTGGTCACAATCTGCACAGCAATCATTGTAACAATTACATTTCGTGTCATACACCCATAGAACAGAAACTGTGCATATACCCAATCGAAATTATCAGGGGTCTGAGTGAATATCTTTGTCATGTCTATTTATACCACTAAGCAGCTTGTTTTGTAAGCTGTATTTCAATTGAACTTAAGGCATAGAAGCATAGCAGAACATGATGTCAAATGTGTTGTTCATTTTGTTTTCTAATTTGGAATAAATCGTGATAATAATAGTTTATTTCAATAACCATAAATGACCAGACGAAGTCGAGGGTAATAGTAGTATATATACTAGTCCTACATGCATGTTTGTATCATTGAATGAGTAATGTGTTACAAGAAACATATATACCTAATTTACTCGGGGAAATGGGAGAAACCACCCAAATCTCCGGAGACACGATGAGGGCCGATTTCCAGGTAGGTCGGTCGAACGGATTGAATACATTCTAGGATCCAATGTCAAGGTCACTGCGTGATATTGCGGTATTAGTTTTTTGCGATACATTATACATGATACAATACTTTTTTTGTAACAACATTTACAAAGTGTACTTAGATATTGTAAAAACAAAAATGGATCATATATAATTCAGTCACTGTCTGGCCGTCCGAAATGAAGCAGTTTTCTTCTCCATTTCAAGTACTATCTACATATACAGGGAAATTTAATTCAGGTTGGTTGAGCAATAACGCGCAGTGAGATAAAAAATCAAATGAACCTTTAGTATTAAATTCATGCTAATATAGCGTCTGTCCGTTCTTGGGATAACATCTATCTTAATGACAAATTTCATTCATAACCGTTCAGCTGTTGGGTTGTTAAAAGATATACCTAGGTAACAGATATACGGATATATCTTCAAAATTGTAATATTAGTATTGATACTATTATTTAATAGACAGATAGAATATACTTTATTTTTAATACATATAAATAAGAAAAAAATATAAATAACACAGGTATAATTTAAAATGAGGCGGCCTAATTATTAAAAGTAATATTTTCAAAGCAACCTTTTGAAAACGAATTGATTTATCTAATACAACTACCATATAAATTACAGACAGACAGGCAGACACAGAGAATTATTAGATATTTTAGGTCATACTACATTATATTGAGAGAGAATATAAGTGTATTTAGGATGTGTTGTATGGCTCTTTCATTTCGTTGGATACCACGCAAGGTCGAACTTTGAACTAAAGCAATTTATTATGTTAATTACAAAATGATGCAACACCCTTATTTCTATAACCTTTTGAATATTTCCTTGTTTTATACAATTATTCACTAGTTAAACTATGTCATCCTAATAATTACATACTAGCTGCTAGTAACAACATTTGTTTTCATTGCATAAGGCCGCCTTGCAAATGTAAATACATATATCATCAGTAATGTTTTTTGTTCCGTTTTTATCATACATAGCATATTTTGTCTCTCTCTAACCGACTCTTTCTCTGTATACCAATCTGATTTTCTCAACAGAATGGATACTTACCAAAGTGGACTTAATGTTCCACAGTAAATTAAAAAATATGTAAAGCGGAAATGAAATGTTTTATTTACATTATAAAATGTGACAATATCCGATTAGTCGCCACTTGAAATTGCTTCAGCTATTTTGAAAGCTTTGTTTAACGACCGACAGCGGAAAGGCAGAATATAAAAGATTTATTGTGGCGTTTTAAAGAGGTTTGCAATAAAATTATTGGTCGGAACACTGATTATGCCATAGTATCAAATAGGTAGTTAATCCACTTAAACATAGAATTACATGATTGGACATAATTACTACAACTGGCTTCTACTATCCCATCGCTGGGTATAAATAATTCATATCAGGCCATTTATCCTCACGCCCTAGAATATACGTAGTCACAGATACTGCGATTTCGGAGGAATAGTCACACGTCTACACCAGGGGAGAACCCTGGTGTAGACGTGTGACTACGGTAATAGTTTACCATTCAATGATGTCTCGTTCAGACGCAAAAACAGTGTTGCAATATGGGTGTAAAATCCATAAAGGTCGGAATTTGGTCGCCAATAGAGAAATTCGTAATGCTTCCATCCAGCAAGCTAATTTATTTTTAAGTTATGCCTTTAATTTCCATAAACTGAAGGTCCATGCCCTTTTTGCGTTTCATTAATTTTGTTGACTCTTTTTTTCGTCGCTCTTCTTGTTCCATGAAAATATGTATTGTGGCTTCCCGCAGTTCATCAACTAATGAATTAGATTATATATATGTGTTATAACCTCTTATTCCTACTTACATCGTTTAATTACAGTATGTTACCGACTAGTCAGTGTACATCCATATCAATACTGAGGGTGACATGTTCTTCCAGATGCGAGGATGGTGGAGGCGCCGCAGCGACATGCACCGGCGGGCGGGCGGCATCGCTGCGACTCGCGAACGGGCGGGTGGCGGCGCAGTCCGCGGAACAGTTGCCCCACTCGCCGGCAGACTGCGCCTCCGTGCGCATATCCATCGACAACACCAATACGTGCTGCACCGACTCCCTCGTCACCGCCCTCGACGATGAGACCCTACTGCTAGGTAAATATTACTAACTAGTCTATTACTGACCCATGCAACTTCGTCTACATTACACTTACTTGATATTTATTTCGTCCAATATAAATTAATAACAATATATACACTGATCAAAATCCGATCAGTACTTTTTACGTGAAAGAGTAACAAAGATTCATCCATCCATCCACAATCACATTTATAAATATATATATACATATTATACATTAACAACACAAGAGTATGTATTGCATATATAGTCGTATAGCATGCATTAGTCGAATCGCGGGTGTTACCTCATAACGTGATGTCCGTAGTACTATTCATGTATAGAGGCAAAGGTTACCTTTTACCATCAGGTAGGCCGGCAGCCTGTTTGCCATTTCAATCGCATAAAAAAAAAATCCCGTTTATACATATAATATGTAAAACAGTAAACAACCGTGAAAACTGTGTTTATATCATTTGTTCTAACAAAAGCATTGCAGTAAAAGTAACTATCACAAAGGAAAACATTTAAAGTATAACCTTACTCTTTTTCTCTTTGATTTAAGATATAACACGTTTCACTACAAAGCATACATTTGTGACAATATTCTGCTATTGAAATTTATTTTTGGAACGTAACGCGTATTTCCTCGTACATAGAAATCGGTATTTTATATTTTGCCGCGATTTGCATCTCGTTTGCTCATGGCAAAGCTGTAAATTCAGTTATGTGTGTACGTGATGTTTTTACCCGGAATCATGTCAACTTACATCCTGAAAATAGGTATTTTATGTGATTGCCAATTAAGCTATGAAGCTACAACCCGCTTGATGGTAACTGGTAACCATCGACGATGTACACGAACAGTAAGTACTAATATCAAGTTATCATGACGACCTCGATGCCACTGATACGTTGCCATTCCGGAGAACTGTGATGTTATGCCTCATGTTCTGTAATGTCACTGCCTTACCTACGAAATATATGCCCTTAAACCGAAACGCAGCTTAGAAAGCAAGCTGTTTAACAGCTGAAATAAGTGGGACGGTGGTTACTCAGAATACTTTTTAAAAAATAGACCTCTTTATGCAAAACGCAACATTCCTATATTATTTACATATATTTCTGAATGTTTTGTCACACCACGGGATTAATACTTAATAACTATGTACCCAATCGTATTGAATGTATTATGGTAAAATCGAAACCTCCCTTATCGCGTAATACCAATTCACTGTCATATCGCGGCGACCACAGACTATAGTCAATGACGTAAACAGGGTTATGTCAAATTTATGTCTCTTAAAATATCTGTGGCAATGCCAAATGCAGACGTCATAGTGAATGCAATATACATGACATATTGCTCACATTTAGATTTATAGGTATATTTGATTTCGACTTTGCAGGATTTCTTACCGTCTTTTAGAAACACTTTAGTTTGCTATCGGTATTTTTATCACCGCAGAATAAATCAGATAAATAAATTGAGACACGTTTTATTTAATATGTTTCTTATTTTATCGAAAACTAAACGAATCCTTTTCTTTTATTCAACACTCGTATTTTCTAAAGAATAGAACTAATATTGACATAGGTATGTCCAATTTTGTAAATGTAAACAGTAGCTACTATTTACACTTATCTACACTTATCCGTCTATTTTTAATAAACAGTTTAAAATATGATAGTTAAGCTAACTCTAACTACCCTAGCCCTTTGCGATATAGTCGTATAAGGCATATATTGATAGATCACGCAGACAAAGTAATATTAATTTCTATTTGTGACAACCCTACCATGCGATACTTACCGCAAAGGGAGGGAGGAACGTTTACTTCCCCGAGAGAATTGTGACAATAAGCATTATCTACCATAATGACCGTGTATAAACCCATATTACTCGTAAAATATGCGAAATTCTCTTTCATTGATGGTCTTTTTATTAGAATTTTTAATGGAATTTAAATGGCAACTAAGCTAATGGACCACCTGATAGTGGTCATCATCGACTGCATACATAAATAATACTACGGAGATCACATTAACTTGATAACTACCTTTGAGATGCCATTCCAAAAGACTGAGAAGTCATGCCTATGATTCTGTAAATTCATTATTTAATCGCACCCTACAACTGAAATAGAGCTTATAAAGCAAGTTGCTTAACGACTGAAATAGATGAAAATGAGGTATCAACCAATGAAGACGACTTCTTCTTTGGTAAATATACTTAAATGGCAAAAAAATATCACTCGCCTAATAGGCAACAAGTGACTGTAATCTATGATCACTTACAATACTAAAACATGCACAATTTATAACGAAACTAACCTATAATCTGGTGTATTTAGAAATTGTTTATGCAACATATTAATTATTTTTCAGAATATAACATTTTCCTTATCTTACACAGATTTTTTCTTAAGCCGTAGATACTCTTGACATAGTAGTATGACTGTTACTATTTCAAAATTTAATGTATTTAAGTATTAAAACACAAAATTTGAACTATTAACGGAAATAGTTCAATTTTCGAAATATGTGACGTCACACTAGGAAGGGGAGAGAGTCTCACAAATGTGATTAACTATCATAGTGACTGAATTAGAGGTAAAAAATCACAGAATTCGCATGACGTAGTTTATTAATAGCCCCATATGGTTTTTTCATGGCGATCTTTTTAATTTGTCAACATCTGGTATGGTTTTGGTTTTGCTAGAAAATTCTACAGTGGACTACTTTGTGACTGTTTTACTAAGATCAGTCTTTCGAATTGTTGATCGACCCCGAGAACGTTTTCGTCTACCGAGTCTTAAATAATTTTTCATTCCATGCAGTTTTCGTTTCGACTAATATGACCAAAATATTTGTAAATTCATGTATTCAAATATTTTATTCGTATTATTTAGTAGTAAGTATAATATAAGATGAACCCGCAACTTCATAACTGCGTAACTTTTTTTGTAAACCAAACACAGTAAAATAAACACTGTACCTGTTTTAAGGGAATATTGACACAATATGTTAATGAAAACTGCCGAAAACATTTAGGCCATTTCTAGGAATAGTGCGCACAAACGAACAGATAAATAGTAAAAAAACTCTCACTAAACTAATAATAGTTTTTATAATAAGTATAACTCATCTCTGTACATGAAATATCGCTTATATTTCATGTACAGACATGAGTTATATTCTTGTTGTATTTATTATACACACATTTATCTACCCAATATTTCTATGAATTTACCCACATGAACATATTCTACATGTCATGACAATATAATAACAGTCATGTTCTATTATAATATACCTATACGACTTTATATCTCCACAAGTAAAATTCACAAATCAATGACTCAGCTCAAACGTAACTTCGGTTGGTAACTCCCCTATAAAACGATGTCATGCGTATTTACCAACCAGCCATTATCTGTCGAACCTCAATTTCATTTTGGCAACGCACATCGGGTCATGCAAACAAAATATTAGGAGAACCGAGATGAGGCAGCGCATTGAGCGAATATGAAAGCTATTTCCTGCAATAATTAAGGCATGCCAACCAAAAGTTTACACGAATAATTCACACATTGCGGATAAACATATCGCTTATCTACCATGAAAATCAGTCCGAAATTTCGGAGCTGAATGAAATACAAATTTAATCACAATTCATGAACGAAATGCCGTCAAAATAGGTACTTCCGTTAGCTCAGACACTTCACACTGGGATTTATGACGGACGAAACGTCACTCGTCATATTCGGGTCCGCTTTCAGTATCAAAATGTCTAGTCGTACGAAATAGAGGTCTGAAATGTATATTAGGTATCATAGAGTTTATATGTTTGGACTTGACTTCGTTTTATAATATATTTTCATCCTATCACCGATAAAAAGATAGTTCACTCTGCATCGTTTTAACAATCAAGCTTGTTTTTATTGCAAACTCTAAATTTCAGAATTGAAAAATTATTTACATAATAAAATATTAAAAAATTCAAATAAACAAATGCCGATTGTTGTTAATTCTGTCATTGTTATTTAATTGTATGGAAATAATTAAGCTACACGATCCAACAATCTGCAGATATAATTTGTTAATATTTGTCTGTATAATATTTCCCTAAACAAACCGATAAAATCCGTATCAGATCGCACGTAGGTAAGGTTCCGTGAACGTACCAACGTCGAAAACTTCTAAGAAACTTCTTCATTAAAGCAATCATAAATTACGAGAAGCCGTTTTTGCGGTTAATTTTTATGTATCTACTTATAAATAATCTAAATATATAATTTCGCAACTACCTTTATAAGTAAAATATGGACATAAACAATACATTACTATTTATAATTTATGTATTATTAAAGTATAAATATTAATATAATGTAAAGTTTCTATATATTGGATGTACAGTGTACATTGGATGAGTAAGTTATACAGATTAATACTTTGTTGTATGTGTATTATACTTATACAATTTGTATAAAAGGTATGGCAGTTAAATTATTAGCATCAAACCCTGAATAAATATCATCGTCTATAGATATAACAAGTTACAGATATAAATCGGAATATGCTTTTCGAAGTCGCGGATATACACTCAAAAAATATTTTATCCAAAAGTCCAAACAACTACTACACTCGAAACATGTCGTTCATAGGCATCGGTTCATAGGTTCACGATAATCCTTTAGAGGTAAGTAGTTTGTCTAGAGTAGGTACCATCAGATGGGCCATACGGTTGTTTGCTACTATGATAGTATAAACAAAACTAAATTTGGATTAGAGCAACAAAACAAAAATGTATCAACTGCAAAAATTGACAAATAAATCGATGTAGGATAAGATATTGTATAATATATTTTTAACAAAAACATAATCCAGTTAAGAAACTTCTTATATTAGGTGTCTGTTGAAAATACTAATTTATACTGGATAGTAATAAATATCACATTCGTATACCTAAACATAGCTGGAGATCGCGTGTGTTAGTTTGTACTCGTAATCTATTTTTAGCCTGATACCTAGT